AAACACTGAATAAACATCAGGATGATGAGCAAACACTGAATAAACATCAGGATGATGAGCAAACACTGCATAAACATCAGGCCTATTTCCAGTTTTATTCCAAAAACAGAATGATGAGGAAGTAATCACGGACACACAATGATATCTGGCCCGTGCCCACACAAAAAAAATAGGATGGAGACGGTTGTGCGCATTTCTCGAACACTCTGTTTTTTCACCTCGCACTGTCATCGTGACTTCATGATCAGGCGCACCCTGTTGACATTTTTACGGACCATGATGCACCCCATGACATTTAGCAAAACCCATTATCCATCAGAAACACACACACATGTACACCCAAATTGATCCATCTTCTTTGAATGGTCTACCACCATTTTGGCGTTCAAGCGGCGGGCAAAATTATGCAGGCAATTCCCGAACAAATAAACAAGTGACAGAATTCACCATCAGGCTATTCTTTACAAATGCTTTGCTGGCACTCCAGAAAAGCCGTAAACATCTTCACCTCGATATGGCAACCGATTTCCAGTCCATGATTTAGACGCAGGACCAAAGCATTATAACGACCAGCGATCAGACACGAGATTGCCGACAGTTAAATCAGAAAAATACGACTGATAACGACATTTCTATTAATTTCGTTCTCAGGGTCTACATTTTGTGGGCGCTTTTGAATTTTGCTCCATGCTTGCCACAGTGCGAGTACAAGCTGGGTTAAACGCAGGGAGCGTCCGCATCTGACGTGAAGGAGAGTCCCTATGAACTAGAAACAACACTTTAAATCAAACAAACTGCAATGGAACGAGCTTGCATGGAGCCAATTTCACAATGGCTGCCGATCGGTATCGAAGCGTGACGCCATTGTGAACCAGGAAGTGTAGTGCAAACGAATAGAGTACGCGCGCGTTGGTTCACGCGCTATGCGCATGACGTATTCACTTCGGTGCTCTAAAAGGCCTTCATTGATTGAAATTATAACAAATAACGGTATGTCTTACCTCACTCCTCGACATGTCGATCCAATTAAACTCTCGTGGTGTATCAGAATGACTCCTCTTCAAACTGATGGAAATGATAATTATCGTTTTGGGCGAACACACACCCATTTATAATACGCAATTCCTAAAATTTCTAAAAGGAGCAAACATTGACGTCTTTCTAGGAAACATTACTTATAAACATTCTGTCGTTTATCTTTACAGCAACAGAAATCATATTTCGGCAGTTTGCATGCATGTCAACACAGAGGAATTTTCCATGGCAGGACGATCGCAATATATCATTTTCTCTGCCAAACAAACCATTAAAATGGCTAAATCATGACTAAAACAATTTATATAATACAGTGGAAAGGAAGGGGAAAAAAGCTCTTCCAGGCGTAAAATAAGTGGACACCGAACGTGACGTCAGTCCAGCAACTTTAATGGTAACAAATTTTGTCTCATGATGACACTAATTACAAGCAAACAACTAAAATTAGTATAAAGGCCAGTTCATGCTTATAGCAAACTTCCAATTCACAAGAAAGCAAAATTTATTGGGGAAATACCCAAAGTCATAAAGAAATTTTTACTACTAAAGTTGTGAAATCGCTTTGTTCACTTTTTGCCTGACGTATCAAATGGCCCTCGCTGTGTGTAATACTTTATTTGTATCAAAACACTTTTCTTGTTAGTAAATAAAGAAAATGTAAATAAGAAATGCATTCACATTGGCTTTTTTCGATACCACAATTGTATAACAAATGTAGCGTGGTATAAGTTAACTAATTAACCAGACATAAAAATTATCAAAACAAACGATTTGCTGTCTATGGCCTCAAAGGAAGGATTACACTTTGTTTAGATATTATACAGAACCTAAACTCTACACTGTACTCACCCTTTTCAATCTCCAGCCATTTGTTCAATTTGTGGTATCTCTTTGAACAGAGGAATTAAATTCCTAAGGAACCAGAAATTTCACTTGAATATTTGAAAACCCAAAATGTCTACATTTTTTGTGACAGGAAAGCGACCTCCGAACTGCTGAGCTGTTAGCACGATACATGTATATCCAAACGGTGTTGTCAATGAACACGTAAAAAACCCAAATGTCCAAAGGAAGTACAAGTAGTTTATCAGGACATAAAAGTTAATGTATTGGTAGTAAAAAGCAATTGCGAATGGTTTGGCAAAAAGAATTATGTTCTTGTTCTTACTCAAAGGAAAAACCCTCCAGTGGGTTATCTCGTTTTTCTCAAACATTTCTATTCATTTCCTTTCTGAAGAAATAATTTACGCTGAGTAATTACACATAGACTCAGTCATTGTCATTTAGGGAAAACAGTCTTGAAGCAACACATGCTGATTGACATTACCACAAATGCAGCTAATTATGTCATTCAAATTGCATCCACTGAGAAATCAACGGTTGGCAATTGTCTGACAGTTAATTCATTTCAAAAGGCAACCATCATTTTTTCTTAACTGAAAGTCACCAAAATGTTACCATCTGTGGATGGGCTGGACAGAGTCTTTAAATGTGATGTAGAATTGGTATTTGGTATCTTTTGTTTTGTAGTGCCACTGCATATGATAAAAATATGAATACAGCTTACCTAGCTACGGAGATAACTACCAATTTTTTTTAAAGAGTTTGGACACATGCATGACCACAAGCAGTTTTGCTGTTCTATGCACTAAGTCTACGCTGAAACTAACAATAAAAGATTTGAACAGATCCAACAAAATGAGTCCTCAGGCCTATTTTGGACTCTTGAATAAACTTCCAACACAGGCCAGAATGGAGGTTATGCGTTGTTGGCATCTCCATGGGGTCTCAGAGGCTATTTTTGGGATTTTAATTTAGTTACAATGAATGCATAAAGGGTTTACTCAAGCCTATTCCACTGATACTAACTCTTTCCCTCTGAGGATGTGTTAATGCATAACCTCCATAGGCATTTGGTACATGTAGATCCGCATGCAAAGTTTAGTCATTATTCTAACACAAGAATACCGTTACGGTGAATAGGCTGAAGAGGTACCTAAAGCATTGTTATAGTGTGCGTCAACATGGATAACTTGTCACTCAAACTTGAATAAAGTGACTTGTGACTCATTTTGTTAGATTGGGTAAATGAATGAAACGTTTTTCCGCCGACTCATTCTAAAACACGAGGCTGACAGTCAGGGATGACAGATTACAGTGAAGCGCAAAATTCTAAACATTGCATGCAAATATTTAACTGATGAAAATCAAATGTTTATGTGAAATCAATCCACACAAAAAATAAACTGAACTGATTTAGTGACAGTTTTTCTGATGTAAAACAAGATATTAACTTTGTCATCTTTGGGAAGGAAGATGAACCCTGCTTTCACTAAATGTAACAGAATCGAACATTGAAGAATTGTTCTGGCACTTGGTTGATCTGGGTTGTTAACAACAAACCTAAGCTTCGTGTTGCTGAAATTGGATTCTGTGACATTCAGCAGGGTTTCCCCCAAAAAAACCACGGGGAGGAGGTAGGGGTAATATAAAGTAACTCAACATATCAAAGAAATGTAAATTTCATAATTCTACTTTGACAAAATCGGTGAAAAAAAACTGCCCGTAAATTCCTACTATATACGACTGCACAATAGTCAAATTTCCACTTAAAACCATTCAAACAAATTTGATGCTTGACAATTAAATTATCAAAATTCATATCTCTTATACAAGAAATGTGGGAGCAATATAAAGACAAATCAGTAACTTCCACAAAACTGCAGGATGGACACAAAATAATAATAGAAATTCCATAAATACTGGTTCTTCCAATGAACAAATTCCACTTTTTTTCGCAATCTTGTGACTGAAGTCTCATTTATATGTAGCTTACAAAAGTGACCTTTACAAATGTAACACTAGCTTGTCTTACCGTTACATCTTTAACTGGTCGTCAAAATAGCAACTGCAGGATGACAATTTTCGAGATGAATGGAAAGTTTAAAATATTGAAGACTATTACGATGTCTTGTCTGTTGTGATAGATCTGTGAAATAAACAAAGGCACATTCTGCGATTAGGTCAGCCATCATCGGTTAAGGTATATATTGCAGTAGAATTGAGTCTATGCAGCTTGCAAAATTTTTTTTCAGGTATGTGATGTACAAAATGGATCCGATGTGGAACAAGCAAAATCTGAGACAAACAGAACTCAAGGTACAAAATTTAATAAGGTTGTCTGAGGGTTGTAGCTGACTCACAAACGGCGATTAGTTCTGTAAAAGGATGTATGTCAACTAACTTTCCTTAATATCAATGTCAGGCAGGAGTACATAATTAAAACAGTTGAAAATCAATTTGAAAGAAAGATGCATTTTGCATAGGGTGATTTCTTTCTCAACATATAGAAAAAAGCAGAGCCCAGCTATTATGACACCTACCATCGTTACAAATGTTGAAGTACAAAGAAAGTGCTGTTTAACCCTGTACATTGGATAACTTTACAAGATTTGGGTATGTTCTCAGCAAAAAAGACAGGGGTACAGGTATTGCATCGATATGGGCATTTGTCTTTTTTTTTACCTGAGTCTCTTTTCAAGGGCATTGAATGTCTGCTTGCTGACAAACCGTGCAAAATGTGGCAGAACGTTGTCGACAATGACTAGAGGTTGGGGGATAGCAGTGTCGGCAACAACACAGATGTCTTTGGCAAACTGGTTCACACAATCCACCCTGAAAATGAACATCAAGAACTCAAATCAATTGCTTCTAAAAGCATTACATAAGTGCACTGTTAACCAATGCAAAAAAGAAGAATAGAAGTGTAAGTATTCAAAGTTTGACTCTCAATAAAATACTCTGGCTTCAGCTCTCATTCCGACTGTCTGGCAAAATTCTGATGTGTTGTTGAAATGCTGGATGCAATTTGGAGATTGAGAGTCATTAAATTCAATACTTTGTGCCAACTAAGTTGTCATTTGCACAACAGGTAAATGGCCAGCATGCGCATTGAATGGGCTTGGTTGTCAGTATCCGAGCCATGTATGGTTGCAACATGGGGGTCTGTGTATGGCAACATCTTGTTTCCAAAGTTGGGGTGCTGTTTGAGGGTTGCACTAATCAATCAGACAATAATGACATCAAAGTTGGGTAGTTGATTGTTTGCTGTGCAAACATGCATCCAATAAGCCAAACCAGGGTGTGCATGCCATGGTGGACTTTGTGGCCAAAATGGCTTCCAAGCTGAAGTTGTTTACAACTCTGTCCACAAGCAGCTCTGATCAAACTGTCTGTGCCAGGGGCATTCCCCAGAAACATTACAAAAGCCAAACCAAGTCCGCTTGAAGTGGTAAGCTTTCCAAATTTCCCACACAAGCAGCAGTGTCTGGCAGAGGCCAACAAGAGATATGGGCTCTGATCATGTGTACCACTCGTGGTGGACATTTGATGGATGGGCCAGATGCCAGGACCCAATTTCACGGTGCTGCTTAACGAGCAAAACAGTCGTGCTTACTATAGCAGAACATTTTGCTAAAGATAAACACTATTTCATGGTGGTGCTCAGCATGGTTGTACTTACAGTTGCGTGTGCATAGAAATGTCGATTGTTTGTTACTATATTTGGCAAACTTTTCCTCTTAGGTAAGTGTGCCCTTTGCCATGCTTACTAGTTATGGTCTTTCTGAAATACACGGAGCCCCTCAGATTCTCAGCTTCATAAGATATATGAGTTCCTCCCCTAGGAGGCAGGCATGAATCAAATAATTGACAAAGCAAATGCGTCTACTAGGACAGTGTAAATGCTGGCCACTGATGGGAAGTTGGTGGTGGGTCACAGAGCAGCCTCTTTCTTTCACACACTGTCAGATCCTGGTCAGAAATTATGAGGCAGGAACCCCCTTTTCCTTGTGGCCCGGGCAGCGACAATTTTTTTTTTTTTTGGCCATGCCATAAATTTGCTTGCCCGAATTAGATCAACACTTGCCCAAGATTTCTTGGAATCCACGATTATTATGGTTATTTAACTTAGGCCTACTGTATGCATGCAGTTTTTAATTAGGCCCCCAAAATAGTTGTGCTTCCAATTATATGCCACTTACAAAATAAAAATAGGGTTGGTAGGTTGGAAATTATTTTGGGGGGGTCAATTTTTTTTTGTCCTGATTGAATGGCATGAACGGGGACGACAGCTTCCAAAATTATCTCAAAAAGTGATGAACACCTGTCTTAATCAATGTAAAAATTTCTATAGGTGACAATTCACAAGAATTATGGGCAATTCACACAGCGTGACTCAGGCAATCACGATGGCAAACTGGCCAACAATGTATCGCGTGGTAAGCGTGCGTGACACGTGAGGCATCCAGACCAGTGGGCGAAAAACCTTGTGCACAGCAGGAAATTTGTTGAAAGAGGCTAACTTCAAGTACGAGCAAAACAAACTCAAATTAAACTCAGGATCGCAGAAAACACACACATAAATAAGAGACCAAGTTCTGTGAAGGAACTTACAGAAAACCTCTTGCAACATCGATTTTTTTTTGACCTGTGGCTTTAGGGTTGTGTGCATGTATGGCCGATGTAGAGTAATCGACCGCAACGTACAGTACATGTATAGACTGGTTCTGGTTGCTACATTTCTTTGCATGGCGTGGCGCAGCGGAAACCAGAGCAGCTTCGTTTGATGCATTGAGCCGCGGGCACATGTTTTCACCACTGCGACAGCGAAATGTGAATGACAACTCGTGAAAATAACGGAAGTTTCTTTCCAAAAATTGAAAATGTAAGTACAAAAACAAACAAAAACAAGCATTTTATCGTGAGAAATGTTATCGAAAGATATTTTGTGAAGAAAGAAAAGATATCAGCTTTTCTGGACTTGCCCAAACGGGCACACCTATTTAGAATTTTATTTGCCCGAATGAAAATTTGATTGCTCCGGCCTATCGGACAGGCGATTCGTCGCGGCCTGTTGTGGCCCAACCATATTAACGGATGGCTAGAGCAGAGATACCCACCAGTCATTCTGGGCATCTTCCTCCAAGTCTACAAGTGATGTGCTGCTGTAGATCCTCTCTCCTTGACTCAACAGGCACAGGATCACAGACACACCAAACTAGAACAAAAACAAGAACTATTTCGAGTTACGTGTACCACCTATGAAATACGGTCTGTTTAATACTTAACCACTTCCTGCCAGGGATTCTGGATCCGGACACGTACGCTTGGTATGCTTTATATGCATGGCCGGGGTCTCCGAACTCGGACAAAAGGAACAGGGCCTTGTAACAAAAGAACGCGCTACGAACAAAAGACCAGGCTACTGGGCATTACCGACATTTTCACTCTCAAAAGTGGTGATAATCCAGCGTTCTTTTGAAACAGTATACCAGGGTTTGGAGCATTGAGAGTGAGCGGATTACCACCGCAGACAAAAGCGCTCCACCGCCGCAGCGATGAGCCACACAGCACCGCTGCATGCTAATCTGGCCCCTATTGAAAAGAGGTCNGCACTGAGCCATGTTCGTGAACAAAAGAAACTTATATAACACCCCACAATCTGGGCTCTTTTTACAAGGCTACAAGCCTGGCTGAAATACTGAGGCGTAATAGATTTTTTTCCGTCAGGCTAGAGTGGACACCAGACAGTCCTTCATGTGTATGTAAGTGTCCAGTAAATGAAGATAGGAATTTTTAAAGAATTTTGAAAACAGAAAAAAAATGATAATTATCCCGGACCAGCATCATCAACATTGATAACTGCCCCAGCAGCAAGTGGTTAATAGTTGTTGACTGCTACGTTATGGGATATACCGCTCTGAAATGTCATATCCCATATCATAGCAAAAGTGTTTTATCATATCTCTGTCTAGGAGATGTTTTTCACTTGTTTTTTCTCAAGCGAAATTAAGAACAAAGGAATTTGTCAACATGAATAGTTAATGATCCCAGCATAATCCTGTACACCGCTGGGGCGCGAGTGTACATGTGATATCTTATGAGACCAGCTGATGTGATGTCCAACAATGTGTGTGACATGCATTTTTGTCGCCCTGTCACAAAATCATTCTGGGCCAATAAAAATAGTATTCAAGACAGAGGCATAATAAGAAAGACCATTACGACACACAGGTCGGTTTGTTAATATTGGTCCCAGAGAGACTAGCATGTACTAAGCACAATTAAAATCCCAGATTCACTGCAATAGGCTTGGTTGGTTTTGCTCAATTTGGATCTGGCTACGGTACCTTGTTCTGCATGTGGAGTGAGATGATAGAGCCGTACTGCCGTGACGGCGACACGCTGCTTGCCCCCGCTGTCAGCTGCTTCACCATGCAGGTCAGCTCGGGCAGGGTGGTGGCCTGGATGCAGCGCCACACTGGCGGGAAGACAGCGGGCAACGTCTGTCAGGAGAACGGGGACAAGACATGGGTCGGTGATACACCAAAAGACATAATACTCCATGACAAACCTAGTGCTATGTGCATAACACTGTATTCGGAGCATAAGACCAAAGCGCTGGTGCATCACTTGCAACAGGGCGAGTGCAGTCAGGTGCACAAGAGTCACGTATGAATATGTAAACAGTGTGCCACAGGTGCTATAATTTCATCTGAGTGCACACAAAATACCAGGGGTACTTCCGTAATTTTTGTGCGACAGGAATGAACGCCGGCTTCAGAAAATAATGCAAATGACTCTGAAATGTCCTGAATGTCAGTTACTTGTTGCACAGTTTGCAAAACGGAGGCCATGTATTTGCAAGGCTAGGTGCCTTGTATGAAGCAATAAATGCACCTACGTACATGCACATGTACAAAAACTTTACTGGTACTGGGCACTGTAACAATATTCTTGTTCAGGGCGTGTTCAAATGAGCACCCAAGTTATTCAACTATTTCATGTAATTATGTAATTTCTTGTAATGGCAGCTAGGATTCCTTAACTGAGTGCCCTAGGCATTGTGGCTCACCAGAAGAAACAAGTTGAGAAGAAATAGTGAGAAGCACTTATGGTTTTAGAGGTGAAAGGAAAACTCCAGAGGAATATTCTGGGTAAAACCCACGGAATCAAGTTGGGACTGAAAAGTCAATCAACATGTGGACCGAGCTATGAATCGCACCTGGGCTGTAGAGGTGGAAGGTGAGGAAAGAAACACTACGGCGAACTAACTCCCTGAGACGTAACTCCCAAATGAGGACAGAATGGAGTGCACTGGTGGCAAACCAGTTCAACGCTTGCTGCGTTTAATACTTAAAATATATGTGCAATACGTTGCCAAGAAAAAGAGCATGAAATGTTACAACATGCCATGAGTGCCTCAGAGTATCCAATCATAATTCCAATCAACAATCATTTCCACAGTCTCAATACTATGTGCCCAGAGCCCAGAGTCCTCAAACTCTTGGTCTGCTGACCCGCGGAGAGTGCATCACATACCTCCTGCGCACTCGCTTTCTGTGTCTCCTGAAGTTCCTTGCGCATTTCCTGCGACTCCTTCTTCAAGAGCAGACTCATGTTTCGGAGGAGGGCCTGGACTACGTACTGAGCCTCTTTCTTCTCCAGCAGAGGTAGGACTCTGGTAATAAGCCGACGTCCCTTGCGCACTGACAAGACTTGGATGAAATGGTCATCTGATGGTCTACGACGAAACCAAAAAGGTGGGAGACAGTTAACCTTTCTTTCTCCAAATTATACTAGTTTCGAAAATATACAAGTGATTTAGTTACAAGCACACACTGATCAGGAAATGCATTAACCCTGAACCCTGTACTAAGCCAATTACTCCTTGACTTTATTGTGGTAGACTTTCTCATTCGCTGAAATACAACATGTTGTAACATACCATATGTAACAGTGCCATTTCTGTGTTTGTGGTTAGAACATCGTTTTTAATGTTGCTGTGACTAACTGGAGTTGAAGAACAGATATTTCCTATATTCCCTACATGCAACTGACTTCATGAAGAACAATGCTCAACACAACAGTATCTCAGTTTAATGCGGGACTTTCTGCTTTCTTGAACACTTCTTGGTCAGCCATCAGTCCAGCCTTCAGTTGGGCTTTATGGACACATGCTTCACAAATCAGAGTAAAATCACATGCCAAATGCCTCTGTCATGGTCCACTTGAAACAGGTTGTGACTTGACTGGAAACTGGACGCACTGAGACTAACATTGAGAACCTGTGAAAGACTCAAACAAGAAAACTTCAGACAGTGACTCCAACACACCGATCGCACAGCACCGTTTCGGGCTTGAGGTGGGCATACACCACCCCAAGCAGGCTCTGCCGCTTCTCCAGCAGCGTCCTGCGGTCTGACTCGGTCAGTGTCAGCACCTGTTTCCCCAAGTCGTCCAGCTGCAGCAGGATGCCGTAGACCCGCTCGATGGACAGGAGGGTGCGGCGCTTCTTGCTCTGCTCTTTTGCAGCGCTGGGTTTGGTGCCCTATAAATTTAAGGAAAGAAAGTAATCAAAAGGTTAATCTTTTTTTCTCTTTCAGTAACAGAAAGTGGTTTTGGCACTTGGTAAGGGACTCATCCAATTTATGTTTTTGAAGTACATGTAGTTAGGAAAATCGCTGGGAAAGCGCTGTGCATATCGCAGTGATAAATATTACGGTGATGAAGGGCAAAATAGAGCATATTTATTACGTCACTCTGATCCAACAAAGCGATTAAATATCACATTGTTTTTAAACATCAAATAATCGATAAAAGGCAAACTCTTGTATTAATTTGAGTAGAAATTTCTCAATGGAAAGAATTACGAGAGCTGAGTTTTGGAGGAGTTTTGATATCACGATTAATAGGAAAATTGGAGAAAAGTCTATCACAAAAGTGTTGCACCGTTAATTGCTTTACTCATGTTTTTAATGGTTATTATTTTTCTAATGATTTTTAATGGATGTGCGTGGTACATTGGTAAACAACAAATAAAATTGGGCTAATGTTCTGACCTCTTCTTCGTCACCAACTGCTTCGATGTGGAAGTCAATCAACTGTCTGGGGTTATTGACACTTGATGATGTGACCCGGCCGAGAGCACCTTCATACTGAGCTGGGAAAGTATGAAGGAACAAATTTACAACTTGTTACACAAATTGACATTATGAGCAATGTTTCTCAACACTGGGATATGATTTGAATATGACCTTGCACAGCTGTAATGGTATTCAGAAGGCTTGAAAACATTCCCAAATCTTATTTGATGCACGCTAGGTTTCAGTCCATCTATTTATTTATATCTTGAGTCGAATTTTTGTTTGGTACATGTAAGTAATGGGCATACATGTACTTTCCCAGACTGAGGGTCATACCATGTAGGAAACAGTGCGGTCAAAATGACAACTGCCCCGTAAGTCAAGCTTACAAGGCGTCACAAATTACTACAGTATAGCAATAAGAGAAGAACTAGGGCTGTGCGTGATTGCAGCCGTGCATCCAATGGTAGCCTGCAACCAGACAGTCCAATCCCCGAGTCTGCAATGGCCATGTGGCCACATACAGGAAAACTTAAGTGAAAATAAGCCCTTTCTTCATGTATGCGCTGTGTGTTGTGAACATGATATGACATAAAAGCTTTGCCATAAGGTACAATGTTGAAGCGGCTCACTGCTTATCAACAGAACAAAAACTTTTAGGTAACAAATATTGGAAAAACAATGATTTGTGAGCAAAACAATGCACCATGAGAATTAATACAAAAGAAGGAAAATAACCACAAAATGTTGCCGCTGCTGAAAGAGTTGGTTTAGATTACTTTTTAAAATCATTTTATGTAGAATTTTTCATCATAACTCCATGACTCGGGAATTTTTATTGGCTCAAAATGTGGTTAACTCTGTTTTTTATGCCATTCCTTTCTGGTGTGAGTTGAGATTTTTGTATTTATTGCATACTTACAAATAAACAGTTTAAGCTGCAAAGCAGTCCCATGCAATTCTAATTACCAAATGTGGGGGAAGCCATTATGTTAAGTGCAGCACTCGATCTGGCAGCTTGGCAGTAGAGTGCAGGGGACATGGTTGGAAACACTTGACTACTGTGCCTTTGTTATAATCTTCATAACAATTACAGGTACCCTGATACCTGCTCCTTACAGGAATTGTGCACTATTATACACATGTACAAGTACAGTACTTTACCTGGTTGGTAGACCCTGGTTTCGAGTGACTTGGTGTTGGGCGTGATCTTGCCAGATTCCTTGCCATTCTTCTTTGTCTTCTCAGCCTGCACTCCCTCCTTGCCCTGCTCCTCCTGGCCCTGCTTCTTCTGCATGTAGGCCTGCGATGCAAGGCACAGATGGACCAAGGTTTACAATTTGGGGTCCAATTTCATGGCCCAACTCACAACGAAATTTTGCACCATGTGAACCCTGATTGTGCAGAAAACTGCCGTAGAGAACTGCGTGAATTTGTGGATGTTTCTGAGAGTTCTTTACACTTTTAACAACACACAGCAGACTATGCTAATGTTAGTAGAGATTTGAAAATTGGGCTGATAAAAATTTTATTTGCAGTCCAACCCGAGACCTACGTGGTGAAAAGGGTAATAAATCTTCAGGCTATTTCTTTGTTACTGCCTGCTCCTCCATTAAGTCATACCTGGAACCAAAGCCTAGGCCAACCAAACAATTATGATGATTAAATTAGGGTTAGGGTTAAAAATTAGGGTTAATAGTCTTTTTGACCCACTGAAATGTATAAACTTGGCCAGGAATGAAACCCTCTACTTTCCCCATACTGAAAGTTATTCACCTCCCATTGTCACCTTCAAGCGAAAGGACTAGATGTAGGTCCATTTGATGAACAAGCCTAGACTGGAATCGAACCTCAGACCAACCTGGTGATAATTATCATTCACTTCAGGATTACTGTTCTGTAATTAAAGCAGTTGAATCCTTTGGACCCATTAGCCTAATTGAAGTATGGCGGACATAATAGGAAGGTATTAAATATATTTCGTACC